GGTTTGCATGATGTATCGGGCGCCGCGGCCTGTCCAGAGCGCTCTGGGGCGATCTGAGAGCGTTCCAGAAAACGTGGAACGACTTTCTCAATATCCAGATAGAGAGCGCCCGCCAAACAGAGAAACCCACGCCCCTGCGTTGAGAAACCCCGTGTCCCCCAGTTTCAAAAATGAAAACTCGCGTGTCTGCAGGGGTTGAGTTTTACAGTCAGGGCGTTGACCTAAGGATCCCTAACTAAGGAACGAGGCCACTTTTTTCCATGGGTTAAACTTCGATTTCCCGTCGAAAACATAAGGAACACCTGAGGCAAGCTGTGAAACACTTAAGGAACACGGAGCCCCTCCCCAACTAAAAGGGTTCCTTCTTCAGCGCCCCAACTGTATAGGCGCTAAACATGCCGATGGCGGCCGCGAAGGCAACTTCGAAATACGGGGCGCCGGTGGTGGCCCCATCCCAGCAACATGTTGAGATGTGTGTGCGTGTGTTTTACGCCAACAAAGGTCGTCCCGCCGGACGCTCAGCCTCCTGCACGGCGTGGCCCAGCTTCCGAACTGGGGCGCCGCGGCGGCAAGGACAGCTCCGGCGTCCACCGGGCAGCGGCGGCGTCCGCCGACGTCCAGGCGCCGACGTGGCTTCCCTGTCCGAGGGCAGATGGACGGGCGCACGGAAAGAGCAGGGAAGACACTCGGGGATGGACAAACCCCCCTTTAGTAAAACGTGGTTAAGTGAAAACGACCTCGGGCCCAAATCTGGCGGGCGAAAGCCTGGAAACTGACGGCCACGGCGCCCTCTCGAGAACCGAAAACGGACAATTCACTAATCGACGTGTCACTGTTGGGGGTTCTGTCCATCCCCGAGACACCCGCTGGGCCGCTGGGAGCCGGCGAGTCCGGTGCGGGAGTGCCCCGGCTCGCGCGGCCGTGCCGTCGCCGCTTCTGCCCGGCTGCGGCGCCTCTCCCGCGGAGGCACCCTCGGGGTGCGGGCGCTGCCCGGCCCTCGCTCGGGCGTCCATGCCCTGTGCCCTTTTTGTCGGCTTCGCGCGTGGCTTCTCTTCGCCCAGGGATCGAGGCTGCTCCTCGATGGCCCTCGCCGGAGGGAAAGAGGCGCACGCCCGAGCGATGCCAAGGAGGAGGGCGGGGGCGAGGGATTGCAAAAAAAACAGGGTTTTCAAAAAAAACCAGGATTGCAATCCTGGGTTTTTTTGCAATCCTGGGTTTTTTTGCAATCCTTGGCTCGAGGGCCAAAGAGGGCCGAGGGGCAGAAGTCCTGCAGGGTGCGCTTGCGCCCCCGGGGGGGGCGGGGGGGAGCTTCCCGACGCCACGACCGGAGCTCGGCGAAGGGGCGAGGTGTGGGGGCCCACGCTGCACGGAGGAGGGCGGGGGGGGGGGGGACCTGGGAGGTAATGACGGCGCGGGGAGGCGAGGAGAGGGACGAGAAGGAGGGCAGGGCGGAGGGGAAGGCTGACGACGGGGGAGGAGCATGCAGCTCATGAGGAGAAGGAGGACGAGGAGGGGAGGATGGCGAGGGGGGGAAGGACGACGAGGAGAAGAGTGCAGCTCATGCTGCGGCTCTAGGGCTTGATGTAGCAGGAGGAACGCCGCCGGGCGGAGGAGGACGAGGGAGGAGCAGCCGTCCGCATTGGCCTCTGGCGACGCGCGGGTCGTTCCACCTCGAAGGATCGCGGCTCGCCAGCAGCGCAGGTCGCTCGACGTCGTCCAGGGTCTACCCCATGACGTCTGACCTCGAACGCCCGTGCTGGGGTCGCGGCCGCGCCGACACGGCGCGAACCTTCCAGAGGGCATGAGGAGGAGTTGAGCAGGGACCGACCGTCCCGGCATGCCTGTAGTCCTACCACGAAATGCTGTTAGAACCCAACAATGTTCTAAGAACAAGGACAATGTTCTTAGAACATACGCCCCATGCGTTCAAACAAGACAGTCCCAGCAAGAAATGTTCTGAGAACATGTCGTGGAAACCACAACAGGTTCTTAGAACATTGTTTAGTATGGCTATAGGCACGCCGGGACGCTTCGCCACTGCTTGAAGGAGGAAAGCAAGGAAGGGGCCCAGACTCGCTTCGCCCGAGCCCTGATGAGCCGGGGCTCCGTTCGCCGAGGACCGCTTCGCCACTGCCCCCTGCGCCCAGCAAGCTTCGCTTTGCTGGCCGAGGAGAGACGGGACGGGCTGGAAAGGCGACGGGAATCAGGAAACGGAAGGCGGGAAGAATGGGAACGAGGCAGCAAGGGGGCGGAGGAGGCTCACCGATCATGGCCCTCGCTGGGAGCGTGCACGTTTCTCGCGTCCTGAGCTTCCACTGGCATCTGCCAGAAGGGTTACCTCCCCCCCACCCTCTTCATCCTTCCTCCCCGTGCCGCTCCCTCCTCCTTCGCTCACTCCTTCATGCCCATCCTCCTTCTCAGATTCTGCAATCCCTGCCCGCACTCTTCCGGGCTGCACCACACGTCTGCAGTCCTCCCTGTCCTCTCCCGCTGGCAGCAGCTTCGCGCTTCGCGCAAGCTGAGCACCAAGCACGAGGCGCAGAGGCAGACACCATGCACAGACGAAAAGCAAGAGATCGTAAAGGTGACCGCGTACACGTCGCACGGCACCACGCTGGGGTGCGACAGCAGCCAGTGGTCCATCGAGTACCGGCCTCCCCTGCTATCCTTGACCGCTGGCTTGCCGAGCGCTCACGAGCTCGTCAAATCCCGCCACGTCCGAAAGAAGCTCAACCGGGTGGTCTGCCCACCGATGCCCGCTGGCGTCCGTCATGCCATGGTGCCAAACTATACCAGGGAAAACCCCTATCAGTGGATGGTTTGGAAATGAATGATATGGACATCGGACATTGGGGTCGATTGTAGGATCGGCAGTGAGATCGAGAAAGTGGGACCAATAGTGAGGACGATAGTCAGGCCGATCGTGAGACCGATAGTGAAGTCGGTTCAGTGAGATCGAGAGTGAGATCGATCGTGAGATCGCTCGTGCGATCTATCGTTTGATCGATTGTGAGATCGATAGTCAGATCGATTGTGAGATCGATTGTGAGATCGTCAGATAGGTGGATAATGAGATCGGAAGGGAGACCGATCGATAAGGAGATCGACCAGGAACCAGGGAACCCGAAAACCTGGGAACCCCGCCGCCCAGCGAAATCGGATGGGAAACTGGGACAAGGAACCTGGGAACCCGGAACCAGGAACCCGGCCGCCCACCGAAATCGGCTGCCTAGTCCTTCAAGATCCGCCAAGACCTCTTCATAGCAAACACTGATTGGGGAATCACGGAACATACCAGAACAGAACATGACGCAGCGGAAGACGACAGAGCACACACATTACACCAGAGAAAAATCCCAACCAAGGGATGGTTCGAACAGTTGGTGTGAGTGTGAGAACGATCGTGAGATCGACAACGAAATCCATAATGCGATCGGTAAGAAGATCGATAATGAGATCGATCTCACTCAATCGATCGATCGAACCCGGAACTAAGAACCCGGGAATCCCGCGATCGGGAACGCGAAACCAGGAACCCAGGACCAAGAATCCGGAACCGGGAGCCCGGGAGCCCGGGAACCGGGAATCTGGGAACGCAGCGGCCTACCGAGATCGGCCGCCCACTTTCGCCAAATCTTTCCAGATCCGCTGGGACCCCTTCAGTGCAAGCACTGATTGGGAAAAAACAGCAGTGCCCTCGACCTCTGGCAGGCCTGGGACCCGTACGGGGAAAAATGGACACGATGCCCAACAGCACGGTTGCCCAAAACCGGCAGCGGCCGCCGTTGGGCAGGCGACTGTTTTCCTCGAGTGGGCAGCGTCCGCGGCAACGCCGATACAGTCGGGGCCCTGAAGAAGGAACCCTTTTCGTTGGGGAGGGGCTCCGCGTTCCTTAAGTGTTTCACAGCTTGCCTCGGGTTTTCCCTATGTTTTCGATCGGAAATCGAAGTTCAACTTATGGAACAAGGGGCCTCGTTCCTTATTTAGGGTTCCTTAGGTCAACGCCCCGACTGTAGCGAACGCTGCTCAAAAGAACCAGGAACTGCAGCCGGTGCTCCCCTCCCTGCTGCCCCAGTCGGCAGGTTGGGGCTGCCAGATTTCAAGAGAAGGACTCTCCCGGTCCGCCTCGCACATCGACAAGCGCGAAGAAGCCCTGCGGCATGGAGGGGGAAGACCTGCAGACCCCCGACGTCGTGATCTTGCCGCAACGTCGAGGTCTCGACCCATTCCCTGGGACCGGTCTGGGACCGGTTTCTCGTCCCGAGCCGTTTTTTTGACGGCCCCGAGGCCTGGTGAGGGCCCCCGAGGGCCGAAAATAGCGACGAGCCTCCCGTCGTGATCTTTGTCACCCGCGAAGGGGGTCTGGGGAGGAGGAGGGGGGGGGCAGGGAGGGAGAAGGGGGTGCAGCAGCAGCAGCTCCGCCCGGCGGCCAGGGCCCGCGGCGCGAGCCGCCGGCGCCGTGCGGCGCGCGCCACTCCGCCGCGGCACGCGCGCCCGGCATGCTTGGCACCGCGGCCGCCGGGCTCGCGGCGCCGGATGCGACCGCTTGGACTCGCGCCTGCGCACGCACGGCGACTGCCGAGCGCGGCCGCCAGGGGCCGCGAGGGGCCCGCTGCTCCCTGGGCGTCCCGCCCTGCGTTCTCGCGCGGGGGCCGGGCAGGTCGCCGAGCGAGCGCGAGGCCGCCCAGCGCGAGGCCCCCGCCGCGCGTGCCGAGCTGCGCCAGCCGCTCGTCGGCACGGCCCCCCCTGCGCCCCGCAGCATGCCCTCCTCCTCCTCCTCCTCCTCCTCCTCCTCCTCCTCCTCCTCCTCCTCCGCCTGCCTCCTCCTCCTCCTCCTCCTCCTCCTCCCCCTCCACTTACCGCCCCTTCCTCCTCACACGCGCTGCCCTATCCTCCTCCGTGCTCTTCTGCTTCTCGCCCTCCGCCACCTCCTCCTCCTCCTCCTCCTCCTCCTCCTCCTCCTCCTCCGCCTGCCTCCTCCTCCGCATGCCTCCTCCACCTGCTCCCCTACTTGGCCCCCTCCCCACACTTCCTTGTCCTTCGCCTGCTGATCATCCTGCTCTGTCCAGAGAGCTTGACCAGGGGCTCGCGAAGATAGCCCAGAGGGAGACAGGTCGAGGGCAAGCTTCAGCGCAACAATGCAGACACTGAACACTGGGCGGGTCACCCTACACGTGCGGCACCGTGCAACTCCAACGGCTCCCGGGCAGGAGGCGGAGGCTGCTATCGTGCGTCCCTCTCGCCGCTGTCGCTTCTGCCTTTCCGCTGGCTCAATTGCTCGCCCCCGTTCCGCCCGTCCCTCTTCTCTTTTGCCGCCACGCGCGTTCCCGTGCGCAACGTTTGCTCAAAATCGGTCCCACGGACCCCTCCAAGAAGCCATGCTGACCAGTTGTCCCAGGCGGCTGCGCCCGCGGCAACGAGCGGCCTCTGGGAAGCCCAGCACCGCCAGGGAGCGCCGTCCTTGTCTCCACTGGCCTTCCTCCGACTATCTGCGGGCGCTGACTTGAGCCTCCGACGGCCGTTCGGGGCGATGCGCCAAGACGCCCCGGGCAAGGCGCAGCTGATGAGAACCATCACGGGGCCTGAAACCTTCCAGAGGCCTGGAGGAGGTGGAACATATGTTGCGCTCCGTTTGAAAACCGGTCCGGGTGCAAGCTCAAGATGAATCCAGGACAAGTGCTGTCGACCATTGATTGGGAGCTTCGTCTGCCTCTGAAGTCTAGTAGCCCCAGACCACGCCGCTGGGCTAAGAACGCAACTATAGCAGAAGGAGGACCGAAAGGAGGGCGAGGAAGAGAGGGAGGGCCAGGACGAAATACAGTCAAAATGAATAGTAGGGATGCGCGGAAGGATGCAAGGGCCTTGGACGCCCATGCATAAGCTTTTCGAGGGGGGCTGGCCATCTCAAGTGGTTGAGGATGGGCCGAAGATGGCCGAAGAGGCAAGGATGCAAGGGTACCCCTGGGAAGTCGATCATCCTTACAGTCATGTCGACTGTAGCTGCACTCGGAGCCATGAGGAGCAGCAGGGGAAGGACCCCGCCATTCCCCGCCAACTTCCCCTCCACTTCCGGGGCCGAGCTCGAGGCTTGACAAGCTAGATCGCCGACCCAAGAAATACTTGCAGACCCCCGCACGGATCTGTTGCTGACCCTGCGTCCTCTGCTGATCCTGCGTCACAGGAGGAGGCGGAGGAGGAGGAGGACTTGACGAGGAAGGCGCGGCTATTGATATGCTGCGGGCCGAGCCGCCTCCGCTTTAACATCGCCCGCAAGTCCATTTTCCTCCTCCTCCTCCTCCTCCTCCTCCTCCTCCTCCTCCTCGCAGGTCGTGCCGGTGCGCACGCTGGGAGGGCGGGCGGGGGGGGGGGGGCGGTGAGGTAATTAGGCAGCCCTGCAGGGAGCTTCTGTCGGCCAGGGGCTCGGCCACCGGCCTGCCCCCCCAGTCTGCTGCAAATCGAGGGCGCCGAAGGAAGAGGGAGGCGGGCAACTCTTCTGTCCATATCCACTGCAGTATGGAGTTTCGGGCTCCCTTCCCAAGAAACCCGAGGCGCACTGGATATGGATAAGTTTGCCCCCTAGAGGCTCGATTTTTATCCATATCCAGTGCGCCTCGGCCTTGTGGCGCCGCTTCCAAAAAAGTCCAAGAGGCACTGGATATGGACATGAATCTTGCCCGCAAGGGAGGCGAGGTCCCCACGCAAGCGCCGCCTTCCCCGCCGCCCTGCGATTCGGGAGCGGCCAAGAGGGGGGTGTCCAAGAGGGGGGGGGTGCAAATCATGACCGGCGGCACGTGCGCTGCCCAGCGGGGGGGCCAGGGGCGTAATGAGATAAGAAGAGGCGCCATGAAATCTGAGGAAACATCCTGGCCCACGCCATGATATCCACCCCCCCCTAGTCATCACCCCCCTCTTTTCCGCCCCCGAGCGATGTGCGGAAAACATATCCGCATCCACGGCCTCTCAGGGGCCGGGCCCCCAGTCTGCGAATCCCCGCGGGCACGGGGCGTTTTGCCGCGGATGCCCAGCGCGGAATGCAACCCTCCGACGGGGCACCCGCGGGACTGCGCCCCGGAATCCAGACCGCGAGGGCGCGGAGAATGCGGGACGACGATTCATAAAAAAATGGGAGGCGAACGTTTGAAAAATAGTGTTCTGCGATTTCTGCACCATTTTCTGACTGGAGGAGAACGATTAAACAAATAGTTGTCCAGCCCGCGGCCGGTTTTTGCTAATCGTCATCCCGGGCGCCGCCGCGTGAACACGACCCCCGGTCATTTATTAATCGTCATCCTCCATTACGGATCCCATCAGACGAAGCCAAGACGAGGATACAATCGGGAGAGGGTGAATAGAAAAACCCGGAGATCCATCAACACAGGAAGATGCATCGGGCGCCGCGGCCTTCTCACAGCGTTCCGGAACGCTCTGGAACGAATTTATCCTCATCTCGGTGGCTAAAAAGATGGGGTCATGAGGGATGGGGTCCTACGTAAAAGGGATCCAAGGTTGGATTTGCATTGGTTGAGGCATCTCGTCTTCAGCGGGGGATCCAAGTAGCTATACCGATACTCCCCCGACCTCTCCCGGGGTGCGTTCTGACCTGGATGTCGAGGAGAATCCAGCAGTGGCGACGAGGGCCTCCCAGGAGGCCCAACAACAGGGGAAAACGAGGGAATCGTAGCACACTGGGGCACTCTCCCCTCCTCCGAACAGAACGCCATCTTTGAAACACGGATCGTCCTGACCCCGTCCGGTCCCCTCCCCTCCCCGCCTGTGCCGAGCTCGCGGCTGTGATCCGCGCCCCCCGCAGCCTCCGCGACGAGCCGCCGCCGCCCCCCCCTGGCGGCCACCGCTTCCGCAGGGGAGCAGCTCCGGGGGCCGCCCTCCTGTCCACCCCTCCCCGCTCCTCCTCCTCCTCCTCCTCCTCCTCCTCTCCTCCTCCTAATCCTCCTCCTCCCTCCCTCCTCCCTCCTCCTCCTCTCCTCCTCCTCCTCCCTCCTACTACTACCTCCTCCTCCTCCTCCTGCCTCCTCGTGCCGCTCCTGCGTCCTACCCCTCCTCCCTCCTTCCTCCTCCTCCTCCCTCTCCTCCTCCCCCTCCTCCTCCTCCTCCTCCTCCTCCTGCATCCTATCTCCAACCTCCTCCAACGCCTTTGCCGCCGCCCTCCTCCTCCTCCTCCTCCTCCTCCGCCTCCTCCTCCTCCTCCCTCCTCCTCCTCCTCCTCCTCCTCCTCCTCCTCCTCCTCCTCCTCCTCCTCCTCCTCCTCCTCCTGAGGGATGGAGGATGGCCCGGGGTGAAGGGGGACGGGGGATGCAGGAGAAGGGGAGGATGGAGCGGGATTGGAGGGGGGAGGAGGAATATGGAGGATGGAGCAGGATTGGAGGGGGGAGGAGGAATATGGAGGAAAATAAGCCAGGATGAAGGAGAGGGAGAGGCAGGAGGAGGAGGAGGAGGAGGAGGAGGAGGAGGAAGAGCGAACGTCCACTAGGCGGAGGAGGAGGAGGAGGAGGAGGAGGAGGAGGAGGAGGAGCAGAAGGAGATCAGAGAACGATGGAGTGATACGCGTGGTGGTGGTCGTCGTCGTCGTCGTCGTCGGCATCGCTGGCGCCGGCGCCGCCGCTCGCCATCATCGCTTCCCGCCAACCCTCTGGGATGGCACCGCCGGCGGAAGCTGGCGGAAGTCTGGCCGCAGCCGGCGGGAGCAACGGCGGACTCCGCATGAGGGCTGGGCACAGCTTTCAGGTACGAAGTGAATCGAACACTTGGGGGTAGAATGCGTCACCGTGTTGATTCGGCCATCTCCATAAGCGTGATGGCTCCGAGTCTTTGCATTCACACGTTGTGCGGCCTTAGGCCTGCGCTCAAGGCGATCCTGCAGGGATCGGCGCACACTCGAGTGGGGTGGTACTTACAGGTCTATACAACAGAAAATTCGTTCGTCTTCGAGGTCATCGTCGTCATTTCTACATTGATCGTCGTCGTGATCTTTCAAGGGGGGCCCCTCCCGGTTCGAACGTCCACTCCCCTGCAACTCACGGGGGAGAGGGCCTGTGCGCGCCGTCGCCGTCGCCGTCGCCGTCGCCGTCGCCGTCGTCGTCGTCGTCGCCGTCGTCGCCGTCGCCGTCGCCGTCGCCGTCGCCGTCGCCGTCGCCGTCGTCGTCGCTGTCGCCGTCGTCGTCGTCGTCGTCGTCGTCGCCGTCGCCGTCGCCGTCGCCGTCGTCGCCGTCGTCGTCGTCGTCGTCGTCGTCGTCGCCGTCGCCGTCGTCGTCGTCGCCGTCGTCGTCGTCGTCGTCGTCGTCGTCGTCGTCGTCGCTGCCCGATGGCGGCGGCGCGGGCGCCAGCGCTCGCCGTCGTCGGTTACCGGGGAAGCCGCGCCTCGTCGTCGCTGCATGCCCATCGGCGTTGGCGCGGGCGCCGGCGCACGCCCGCCGTCGTGGGTTGCAAGGGGGCGGGGGCCCCCTCCTCCCCGGTACGAACCCCCGCACCCTGTGGGCAAAGGGGAGGGGCCCCCGCCCCGGTTCGAACGCGCCTCCCCCTCCCTTCTGGGCAGGTGTACACTGGGCAAGGGGGGTCGTGAGGATCAGGAGGGCGAGAGGCGCGAGGAGGAGGAGGCGCGAGGAGGAACGCAGGAGACGCGGGGAGGAGGAGTAGAAGGAGGAGGAGGAGGCGCGAGGAGGAGGAGGAGGAGGAGGCGCGAGGAGGAGACGCGAGGAGGAGGAGGCGCGAGGACAGGGAGGGGGAGCGGCCGGTGCGGATCGGCGGATCGGCGCGAGCACGCTGTATCTTTGGCACCTCGTCCTTGCTGCCCGAGTTCGGCGACTGCGCGGCTTCCCGCACGACCTGCCGCGAAGCTCTCCGGCCCCCTTCCACCGTCCTCCAGCATTCCATCCAGTCTCCTCTCAATAGCAGGAAAGACACGGGTCCCGAGGGACAAAAATCCTCGACCCCGGGTCCATCCATCCCCCAAAAGCCCATTCTCCATCTTGGATCTTCTTCAGACCGTCCCGGGGCCCGCGGAGGACTCCGGGAAGCCAAACAGGTTGAACCATCCGAGGCCCCACTTCCATCAGCACCCGTTTCCTTCAAGGCGGAGTTCTCCCTCCCGCCTCCCCCGCACACCCGCCCTCCTCTCCTTCCCCCCCCCTCCTCTCGCCTGGGCTTAAGCTGGGCGTGTCCCCCCACAGGGGGATTTTCGAAGAAAAATAAGAAATACTCAAACAATACTCCCACATGGTAAAAAAATGCGCAAAAAATAGTTCCCGGACTAATTTTTGACTATTTTTGGATATTCCTCCTGTAGAGCGACGGGCCCTTCTTAAGCCTGGGCAGGTGCGGAGTGCGTGGACGAGGCCCGCCGCCACCGCCGAGAGCACGCGCGGGCCCGCGCGAGACCGCGACGCCGCGGCAGAGCCGGACCCGCTCCGAGCGCCGCGCGCGCGCGAGCGAGCGACGGACACCGCTGGGCCTGCTTCCCACCACCACCACCAGAGGTTGGAGGGGGAGGGGGTCCTCCTCCTCCTCCTCCTCCTCCACCTCCTCCTCCTCCTCCTCCTCCTCCTCCTCCTCCTCCGCCTCCTCCGCCTCCCCCTCCTCCCCCTCCTCCGCCTCCTTCTCCTCCTCCTCCTCCTCCTCCTCCTCCTCCTCCTCAGGGTGGCGGTGGTGGAGAACGGGCCCATCGAACAGCAGAACAAAGCACGGGCCCTGGCCGAGATGTGGGCACCGGCGGCCCCGCGCCGCGCCCCACACGCGCAGGCCGCCGGCGCGCGGCCGCGCCGCGCTCTCGGAGGCGGAGGCGCTCTCGCGCGCGACCGTGCGCGGGCAGAGGGCGCGCGGAGGTCGGTCGAAGACGAGCGGCCCCGTCTGTTTTGGCGTCGCGTGTGGCTCGCGCGCGTCGGCGCGGTGGCTCGCCCCAAGCGAAGGCGTCGCTCGCGCGTGGCTCGCGAGCGTCGGCGCGGTGGTGCAGCAGGGCGAGAGCCGGCGGGCGCTGTTTCTCCTCGAGGGCCCACGAGGCAGCTCGAAAAAACAGTACCGGCCTCGGGCGGGATCAGTGGCGGCAGCCTTCGCTGCCGCCTCCTTCTCGCGAATCCGAGCCGCCAATGTCTGCATGCCAGGCGTGGAGACGAGGCACGAGCGGGAGGCCGTCCATCTGGCCCGATCAGCCACCGGGCCTGAGAGGCAGACGTCGACGGGGTGAGAGCCGACAGCACCGGTCACGAACGACACGCTGTGCCAGCAGATCCCTCACTGCCGCACCTCGTACACGGACAGCCGCAAGCAGATGATGACCAACCTCCAGGCGAAGGAGTCGGGCGTGGCAGCCACGACTCCTCGATGCGCGAGGCAGCTGGGGGGGCAGCCGTGACGAGAGGCAAGCCACTGACATCCCACCAAGGGAGGCTGCTGCAGATGCTCCCAGGCAGCGTGGGGAGCGCCTGAGGCTCGCGAGGTCAGGGTCGCCCCCCGAGGGCTCGTCGTCAGCCTCGTTGCTGTCGGCGACGCTCGAAAGTTCGGCTCGCCCCTGCGGGGGCCCGTGGCCGCCTGCGAGGGCGGCGCGAGAGGTCAGCCTCGCCCTGCCCCGAGCTCAAGGTCGCCTGTGATTTTCTGCACGGGTGCCAGGGAGACTGGATTGGAGCATTCTCGACGCAAATGCGATCGCCCACACTGCTAGCAGAATCGACTCGGACTGAGATGCTGGCTCCCTTCCCACCGCTTGCGCCGACAAGCCTCTCTGCTGCGATCGACTGCACCGCAGGTGGCACTACATAAGACGGCCTCAGATACCATTTCCCTCCTCCACGATTGCGCCGACCACCTCTCGGACTCCGAGTGGGACGCCTACACATCCCCGGTCCTCGGTGACTTCGTTGGGCCAGGGAGGCAGAGTGCAGGAAGGAATTACGCATCAGTCAACGTCTGCAGTCTCAGAAGTACATGGGAGTTGCACCGCATGCCGCGGGATCCCAGCCCTCCCCCCCTCTGCGTCCTCTGGGACCCCCCCTCGCCTCACCTCCTCTTCGACTTTGCACGCCAGTACCCATCGGTCGGAAGAAATAAGTAGACACATGACGCAGGAAGGCGTTGAAAGTAGATTGGGTGTCCGCCCCCACCCCCTGACGAGGACGGACGAGGTGAAGCCGCTCGATCAGCGGAGAATTGGACAAGCAGATTGGAATCTTTGACTCCAGGAGCACCCACGTTCAACGGCCGATGGGCATCCTGATACTTGATCGGTGCGGCTCCTGGAAGGGTCCCGCGGCTCTCTCTCTCTCTCTCGGTCCGTGGGCCCCGCCGTGCTGCAACTTCTGCTCCGGTCCGGCGCTGGCCCCGCGGCGGCTCCTGCCTGCCAGCCGCGCCGGGCGGCCCAGCACTGCCGCTGCGTTCGGGCACGTCTGGTCGCAGGGAGGCTCTCATCGGGGGCGCGCACATTTGGATCAGCGATCCATGGATGTGGCGCGCGGTCGCCAAATCCATGGATCGGCGGAGGCGCCCTCCCCACCATGCGGCCGGTGCCGCCTCGCTCGGCGGCGGAAGCCCGGGATTTCCCGTGGAAGCGGGACCCGTCGCTGATCCACGCCCCCTTGATGCACGTCTGCGATCGCCTGATCTGAGGAGTGCGCGAGCCCCTCCTGAGGCCAAAAGCCCGCAGCTGGCAGACTCGAGGGGAGCTCGCTGCAAGGTTTGCCAGATGCTGCGGCACCGACTGGCAGGCGTTCCTGAAGAGACCGCCGCCGCCTCTCGCCTCTCCGCCTTCCCTCCCCCCGCGCCCCGTTCCTCCCGCACTCCAGCTCGTTCCCCCCCACTTCTTCAGACGAGCGCGTTCCACTACTCGCAAAGTGACTACTCGCAAATGGCCTGGATCCGCTGGGGGGGATCTACGAGAAATTACGTCGAATCAGATGTGTTTTTTCGGGCGTTTGCGAGTAGGCACTTTGCGAGTAGTGGAACGCGCTCGGTGATTCTTGCGCGCTGGGCACACTTACGCTGAAATGCCAGAACGTACCAAAAAGGAGCGATGCCGACTTGGGCAGAATGGACAACACATTCAAGCTGCGTCGATGGCAGGAATTGGATGGCGAATAAAAAGGCAAACTATGTAGTGCCCCCACGGGCTACGGTAAATACGCAAGCAGCCGCGGGGGGAGGAAGAGGTATGACACGTCAGAATACGCTGCATTTTAACATGCTATACAAGGATGGAGCAGAAAGAGAGGGAACGAGCACGAGAGGGAACGCACTACGCGTGCAAACTGACAGATTTCAAACATGAATGCGTGCCTGCTTAGTGTCCGACGTTGTTCCCTGTGGGTTTGGGCCCCTCGGGTAAGTCAGGCAGCTGTTCGAACATGAGAATGACGCAATCGAAATTTCAAACGTGGGCAACGTAGGCTAGCGATTGTTGTAGGCTGGCCTGTCGGTGCCAAGGCAACTCGACATGAGGTACTCGCGGGGCGGCGTCGCTGGTTGGCCCGAGGCATGACGGCAAACACACGCAAGGCGAGATTGGTGCCCAGGTCACGGCGGCCAGGAGCAGCGCTCACGCCCCTCTGCCGAGGGCCATCAGGACCGGATGGCCACTCGCCCACCCCTCGGGAGCGGCCAAGAGGGGTGTCCAAGAGGGGGGGGGTGCAAATCATGACCGGCGGCATGTGCGCGGCCCAGCGGGGGGGGGCCAGGGACGCAATGAAGCAAGAAGAGGCGCCGTGAAATCTGGGGAAAAATCGTGGCCCCCGCCATGATATCCACCCCCCCCTAGTCATCACCCCCCTCTTTTCCGCCCCCGAACCCCTCCTTCTCCCGCGAGCCCCTGGCAGGTGCGCGGCGCGGCGGGAGCCCGGGCAGGGCGCGGCAGTGCCGCGAGGACACCCGAGGCAGGCACCACCCTGCGCGGCGGGCCCCCAGGCCCGCCCGACGGGGTGCTCCCGCACGAGGCCCCAGGCGTCCCCAGGCAGGCCCAGGCGATCCCAGGGCAGCCAGTGCGCGCACGAGGGGCCCAGGACCTTAGTGGGCCCTGGAAACGACAAGGCCGTTTTTTTACCGGTTCCGTTTTGCCGTTTTTTCGCCGGTTCCGACGCCGTTGTTTTACCGGTTCCGTCGCCGTTTTTTGACCGGTTCTGGCTCCGGTTCCAATCCTGGAGCCGTTTTTTTGCCGTTTCCGGTCGCCGTTTTTTGCCGTTTCTATTTTCAAGGGACATTTGATTGGAAACGGTGAGAAAACGGCCCTGCCGTTTCCGGGGCCCACAAAGCCGCCTGGGTGATGGGGGAGATGGAGATGGAGAGAGGCCAAGGTTGGCTTGCGCAGCGGAGCAGGCGGGGGGGCGGGCTGTATGCTCAGGAGTCCACTCAGTGGCCGCCGGCATGCCCAAGGACGCGCTGGAATGGGCACAGCGAGCGTCAAACCTGAAAGTCCGACAGCCGCGCAGAGGTGTAGTCCTGCCTTTTGGCCGGCTGCTTCCCTAACGGGAAAATTTAGGCTTAGACTCAGGGCCGCGAGCAGGTGCGCAAATATGTAGCCTTCGGGTTGTGCCCACCGCACCTCGGTCATCTGGTCACCCCACTACCCAAGATACGCTCTGCACCCTGCCGTACTCCTACCGCCTCAAAAACAGGATAATCCGCCTGCCACTTCCTTCGTCGGACCGTCCCCCCCTCGTCCTCCCGAGCCAGTGTTGCCGTTCCTCCCCCATGTTCTCTTTCCCATGCTCTCCTCCTCTGCATCTACTCTTGCTCGTTCTCCTGCGCAGGAAGGGGAGAGGAGGGGAGGGGGTGCCCAAGAAAACGCGTACCAGCCGCAAAAGCCTTCGACAGGGGAAAGACTGGTGCGGCCACCAGATGCGGAACCAACTATACAAGCATCTGCGTCGGCTGAGTCTCGATTTCGAAAGGTTGTACAACAGCCGCGGGCCACGACCTAGCGTTTGCGAGAATGACCGGGCGTCACACGTGCCCTGGGCGTAAAGGAGAGGTGAGGGGAGGCGGGTGGCGGGGCATTGGTCGTCGCCGTGCCTGGGGTAGCTGGTCGTCGCGCCGATGTTCGCCGCGCTGGTGATGCTGCTGGCGGCGCGGCCGTTCGCAGCCGCGGCGTTCGCTGTGATGCTTTTGTTGGCCGCCGTCGTCGTGGTCGATGCGGGTCTCGTCGTGGCGTCGCTGCTGCGCGTGGTGCTGCTGGCCGCGCTCGTCGTGCCCGCCGTGCGGCTGCAACGCTTGCTGCTCGTCGCAGGCGTCGTGGGCGCTGCGGCCCCAGAGAGCGCAGGCGCTGCTGCGCGTGGTGGCCCTGCCTGCACCGCCGCGGAGCCTGCCCTGCCGCTCCGCGGCAGCAGGCTGGGCGCGCGGGCGCGCGGAGCTGGCCGGCAGCCGCTGGCCTGCGCCCCAGTCGGCTACACGCCAGAGTGACCCTGGGCAAGAGTGACCTTTGGTGCGCGGCTTTTGGGGGGCCGCGGGGGGACCACAACTGGGCGCGCACGCCGCTGCTCCTGCGTCGTTTTCAGCCACCTGGGGGCCCGTCTGTGCCCGCACCAAAGGTCACTCCGGCGAAAGGTCACTCTTACGTCTAGTCGACTCAGCTGCGCCGGGCCCGGCCTGCAGGCCGGCCCTCTGGCGCCGAGCAGCGCTTCCGCGCGAAGCACCTCGGGAAGGCACCAGAGCTGCGACCAGGCGAACAGCAAAACCTCGGCGAATTCTGAACCATCCGGGTCTCGCGCACGGAAACGCACGCAGGCGGCCAGGACGGCCACCCGTTTCGAAGAGGACGGTTCCAGACTGCAACCAACTGTAACGAACGGCTTGCGGAGCCGGCACCGAGGGCCAAGGGCGTAGAGGTCTCGAGCCACTTTTTCCCCTGGGCTCTCTGGCACGGTCATTCGTCGCGCTCTCGCTTCCGCAGCATCCCAGTCTTCTGCCCGCAGCGCGCACCGTGGTTCGCCCCAGCAGCTGACCCATTCCACCGTGCCGATGCCACCGCTCACCGCTGCTCTCTGCCCGTCCCCCCCCCCTCCTCCCCAAAAGTGCATGGAGATCTCAGGGGCGAACAACAACTGCAAATGACATTGATCCTCCTCCTCCCTCATCATCGTGATCCTCCCTGCGACCGCGTCCATGCGAGCACTGAACTCACTGGGCGGCAGCAGCTTGCTCACGTAGTCGCACCTGGCCAGCCAGATGTTGCCTCGCGCCCCCCTGTCCTCACCGCCAATCCGCCGCGATGGGGGCAAGCGGCCTCCTCCTCCTCCTTCTCCTCTTCCTCCTTCTCCTCTTCCTCCTTCTCCTCTTCCTCCTTCTCCTCCTCCTTCTCCTCCTCCTGATCATCATCATCATCATCATCATCATCATCATCATCATCATCATCATCATCATCATCATCATCATCATCATCATCATCATCATCATCATCATCAAATTGCATAATGCCGATTAGACGTCCGCGCGGATTACTTGGATCCGCGCTGGACCCCCTCCCTTGCGCGCGGAGCGCGCCAGGATCGGCGCCGGAGGCGCCGCCAGGGGGGCCCTGGCGCCGATCCAAGAAATCCGCGCGGAGCTCCAAAAGTAGATGCTGATGCATTGTTCTGTTCTTCAGCTCCTTCTCCCGATCTTCGGAGAACAAGACCAGTACCAAAGACACGCTGGCTGGAGCATCCCAACGTCGTGACACGCTGCAGAAACGCCAATGATTCTGCACGAAGGGCGCACGAGTACGTGACACGCCCAGGTCTGAAAAAGACGACGCCCGTGCCGATGATGCTGTCTCCCTCCCTCCTCCTCCTCCTCCTCCTCCTCCTCCTCCTGATCCTTCTCCTCCTTCGCCTCCTCCTCCTCCTCCTCCTCACCCTCCTCCTCCTTCTTCTCCTCCTCCTGCCCCCAACCTCCGTCCTCCTCCTCCTACCCCCAACCTCCTCCTCCTCCTCCTCCTACTCTCCCTTCCTCCTCCTTCCTCCTCCTTCCTCCTCCTTCCTCCTCCTTCCTCCTCCTACTCCGAACCTCATTTCATCTCCTTCCTCCTCCTACGCCTGAACTCCTTCCCCCTCCTTCATGCCCCTCCCCGTCCTCCTCTCATCCCTCCGTCCTCTGCCTCCCTTCACCCTGCTAGTCGCCGGGCTGGCGCCCTCTACCACGAGAGCGCTGGGGGCCAAGGGGATATTGCGGGGGGGGGCTGAGACAACGACGGCCCTCCCGCCAGACCCAAAGCTGCCCATCAGGAGCGCCTTCGAAGGCAAGTTGCTGCCACATTATGAAAAGAGGAGGTGGAGGGGGAGGAGGAGTGCCCGTCGCCGAGGCAAGCTCGCCAGGGAAGCCCGTCGGCTAGGAAGCAAAAGGAGTGAGAGATGCTCGCCTGCGGGAGAAGCCCATGAAACGCCGACGAGCAAACTTGTGGGCGGCAGCCCTCCCTAGGAACAGGGATTGTTCTCGAAGTAGAGAAAGAGGAGGCACTCGGTGTTGACACTGTGACCCTGGATTGCGCGCGTGACGTCAAGAGCGCCCTCTCCCAGCCTGGCAAGCCTGAGTCTGAACAATCACCAATGAGGACGATGGCAATCAGCAAGCGCCGACCAAAACTAAGAACGACTGCCTTTGACTTCTGGGTACACTTCATGTGTGCTCAAACTGGAAACGTTCGCGATGGATTCGAAATTGCCTCGGAACGATCAAAGATTGCGTCGGGGAACTTCTGACCCGGGTCAATCCAGACCCGGGTCAGCAGGAAACCAATAACTGCAATGCAAGAAAACAAAAACTGCAGCGCAGGTCCTCGCAGACCCGGGTCAGCCAATATGCGCGGCCGCCTCGCGGCCTCGAGCGGCACGCTAACCCGGGTCAGCCAGAGGGGGTCTTCGCAGGATCCTGCAGGATCTGGCGCCCTGGCTGACCCCCGTCTGTATTGACCCCCGTCTCAAGCCTCCCGAATTGCGGTCAGCCGTCGCCACCGTGAATTCAGTCTAAGTCTAGTCTTGGGCACCCCTCGAGAAAGACGCTGCCTCGCGCGGCGGACAAGGACAGGGCGCCTGGTGCTCTTAATCGATTGCTCTTCCTGCTCCTCCGGCTGCTTCTCTGGCTGCGGCTACCGCTCTTGTCGGGGGAGGTGCGGCTACACGCAAGAGTGACCCTGGGCCAGAGTGACCTTTGGTGCGCGTTTTTTTGAGGGCCGCTGGGGGGCCAACCACAAGCGCGCAAGGCGCTACCATCGCAGCGCCCTCGGCGATCGGGGGACCCATCTGTGCCCGCGAAGGGTCACTCTTACGTGTAGTCGAGAGGCCCCGTTGAGGCAATGGCAGATCTCCCGCTGGCCCGAAGCCGCCAAACAATCGGTCCCCAGACCCGTCCCTGGGTCCATCCTGGCCCGTTTTCGAGGCGGCCCCGGCCGTGGCGACGAGGCCAAAGAGCACGACCAACGCCAGGCAGGGCGGGCGTCGTCTCGACTGGCCCGTCCTCCGAACGAGGGGCAGCAGCAGGCTGGGGCTGGCGCAGGGAGGGGCACATCGACCAGGAATCGGCGGTGCATCGCTGGTACATCGGCGATCACCCCAGGCCCCTGATAATCACAGGGTGGGGATACGAAAGTTCGGGGTTCGGGGGAGGATCATGAGCTGGTATGCTAGTGTGGCATAGCGACATGGGAAAGCTCCAATGGTTAGAATCCCACGGGCCTCGTGTTCGTGACTTGGGAAAGCTGAGTTTATGATATTCCCTTTGCCCTGCCTCACTGTTGTTTGGACAGCTGATATGGTGAGAATCCCATAACCCTGCCACGCGTTCGGGAGAGCGTTGCTACTCAACACGTAAGAGAATCGCAACTTCGACTCGTACTTTCCCCGGCGATAATGAAGTTCGGCCTCGCCGCCCCTTTTCCCCGACCAACTCTCTTGGCCCGGGAGAATCAACTCTCCTGAGTTAAGGGGGGGGGAGCCTGCTCTGTTACCCGGGGTGCTCGCTTAGGCCCCCGATAGCATAATCACCGACAGCCTATTCCCCGCGCCGCGCCCTGCGCGGCACCTGGCTACTTTCGCGCGCCGCGCGTCCAACCTCGGCGCGAAGCACGCGCGCTCCACCGCGGCGCGAAGCGCACGCGGGCGGCCCGCTCCTCCGCCAATCCGCGCGTTCCTGGGCGGAGTGGGGCTATCGGCCCCGTCGGCGATCAGTGGGCGATGGGGGCTCGACGCGCCCCGCCCTGAGCCTTTCCCCCCCGATCGCTGCCCCCGACCGATCCAGCCCCCCTTGCTGCTTTGAGCACGGACCGACCCTCCCGGCATTCCCACAGGCCTACCACCAAGTGTTCTTAGAGCCCCTAAGATGCTCCAAGAACCACGGCAGTGCTCTTGGAACAGAGACCCGATGTGCCAAAACAAGACAGTCTCGGCCAGAAATGTTAGAAATGCACTGCGTACAGACCACCTAAAAGGTTCCTTGAACCTTGTTCAATTGGCCTACAGTCGGGGCGTTGACCAAGGGAACCCTAAATAAGAAACGAGGCCCCTTTTTCCCAGAAGTTACACTTCGATCTCCCATGGACAGCCTCACGAAAACCTAAAAGGCAAGCTGTAGAACAGTCAAGGAACACCGAGCCCCTCCCCAACGAAAAGGGTTCCTTCTTCAGCGCCCCGACCGTACAGGAACGCCAGGACGCCTCGCCACTGCTTGGCTGCTGGCACCGTGCACGCGACGGGGCGACAACGGCAGACCCGCGCCCCTCCCGACACGTGGTGGTGCGGCAGGGGCGCGAAGCGCGAGGAGCACACGTCGCACACCTGCCCTTGCCGGCGCGCACACAGGGAGGGGGAGGAGGAGGAGGAGGAGGAGGAGGAGGAGGAGGAGGAGGAGGAGGAGGAGGAAGATGAGGAGGAGGAGCAGGAGGAGGAGGAGCAGGAGGAGGAGGAGGAGGAGGAGGATAAAGAGAAGAGGAGGAGGGGGAGGAAGGGGAGGATAAGGAGGACGAGGAGGAGGAGCAGGAGGAGGAGGAGGAGGCGGAGGAGAGGAAGAGGATGCGGATGATGATGATGATGATGATGATGATGATGATGATGATGATGATGATGATGATGATGATGATGATTGATGATGATGATGATGATGATGATGATGATGATGATGATGATGATGATGATGATGATGATGATGATGAGATGAGGAGGAGGAGGAGGAGGTAGGAGGTAGGAGGAGGAGGAGGAGGAGGAGGAGGAGAAGGAGGGGGAGAGGAGGAGGAGGAGGAGGAGGGGGAGGATGAGGACGGGGAGGAAGAGCAGGAGGAGGAGGAGGCGGAGGAGAGGAAGAGGATGCGGATGATGATGATGATGATGATGATGATGATGATGATGATGTGATGATGATGATGATGATGATGATGATGATGATGATGATGATGATGATGATGATGATGATGATGATGATGATGATGATGATAAGGAGGAGGAGGAGGAGGAGGAGGAGAGGAGGAGGGAGGAGGTAGGAGGTAGGAGGTAGGAGGAGGAGGAGAAGGAGGAGGAGGGAGGAGGAGGAGGGGAGGATGAGGACGGGGAGGGAGGAGGAGGAGGAGGAGGAGGAGGAGGAGAGGAGGAGGACGAGGGAAGAGGGGGAGGAGGAGGAGGAGGAGGAGGAGGAGGAGGAGGAGAGGAGGAGGAGGAGGAGGAGGAGGAGGAGGAGGAGGAGGGGGAGGGGTATGGGGGGAGGGGGGAAAGCTTCTCAGAAGGAGGCCGCTGCTTCGAAGGCGCCATCTCCAGATCTGCAGACAAGGCCCGCGCCTTCAAAGAGGCAGGGGTGCTCCTGAGAAGCCCCGCCCACCCGCCTCCGACCCCCCCTCTGCGCAGGGCCGATGCTCTTCGGCAACTTGCTCTGCACGGGCGGCCCGCCCTGCCGATTGCATCTCGCTGTGTGGCGAGGCCGGCGTGGAGGCAAGCCACGACGGCCGCGACACCTCGCAGGGGGTGGCCGGTCGCGGCGACGGCGGCCCTCCCGGGCTGCTTTGGTCTGCTGTTTGTGGTGCTTCCTGGGGCTCTCGGAGGCCTCCCGTCGCCCCGGCCGGAGCCGCCTCGAAAGACTGGTCAGCAGGTGGGCGGCACTTCTCGGGGGGGCGACAACTCTGGGGGAAGTGCTCGGGCACTGGAGGCCCCCCTTTGGGCCCCAGAGGGCCCCTCCGGGGGCCCCTCTGGGGACCCCTTCTCGGCAGCCCTCGCTGCCCCCCCCATCTACCGCCCCCCCCCCCCAATATGGGAGGCCGGGCGGGAGGGCCGACGACGTCTCAACCGGCTCTTCTCCGACGGCACGGAGGCACGGAGGCCAAAATCTTGCCGCGCAGCGAGGCGCTGCACTGCAAGTTGCGCTGCAGTCGCACTGCGCCGCGTGCTATGCGCTGCGCTGTGGCCTTTTCCACAAGTTGAGCGATCTGCCAGGGCACACGAGCATGCAGCTGTCCACGCGGAAAGGAGGGACGGGCGGTGCAGCGGCGGACGACGGAGGTGCCCAGCACGCCGGCCCTTCGATTATAAGAGCCGTGGGCGATGGTGCGCAAAACGTCATGCACGATGCAACAAATAATAAAAGGCACTCATCAGGCCGTCTCATGGCAATGCGATGTCGCAGTAAGGGGGCCGAACGGTCATTCAGCGTCCCTGGGTGTGGCTGAAAAGGGACTTCGTGGCCATGATATTGTTTGTTTGCTGCTGCTGCCGTTGTTGTTGCTGCTGCTCCTTTTGAACTTCAACTACTGAACAATAAATATTGTTGATCCCCTCTTTCCACTACATGTTGATTTTCAATTGAAGTGCCCCTCTCGGGGCTCGCACCCTGTTTTTTAACAAGGGAGCTCTTCCTGCTCAATCTGTGTCCCGAGCCCCCGGTTTACAACAACAGCGGCTCCCGCCTGATACTTCCTTGCAAATTATTGAAGAATCGCGCTCCCGCTAGGGACTTCCTTGCAACTCATCAAAGAACCGCGCTCTCGCGTGTGACATCCTCGCAATTCATTCAAGCGCCACGCCCTCGCCATTCAGGAATCGCGCTCTCGCCTGGGACGTCCTCATAATTCATTTAGGAATCGCGCTTTCACCCAGGACTTCCTTGCGAATTAAGCAGGACTCACGCATTCGTGCACTATCTTTTAATTAAAACGCCCCTCCTGGGGCCCGCTGCATTCGTACAAAAGAACATATTCCTGCTCAAACTATGCCCCTGGCCCCCGGTTTACAAGACCAGCAGCTCCCGCCTGACACTTCCTTGCAATGGATTGGAACATCGCGCTCTCGCTGGGGACTTCCTTGCAAATTATCGAAGGATCGCGCTTCCGCCTGATACTATCTCGCAATGTATTCAAGCTTCGCGCTTTCGACACGCAGGAATCGCGCTGACCCTTGGGAGTTTCCCGCAATTGATTCAGGCGCCGCGCCCTCGACACTCAGGAATCCCGCTCTCGCTTTGGATTTCCTCACGTGAGGTATTTTGGAATCGCGCTTTCGCTCAAGACTTCCTCGAGATTCATGCAGGACGCACGCTTCAGCAACCCGCCTGCTCGACCTGGCCGCCTGGGCCCGCCTGTTGGGGTCTACCCGCCCGATCTGCCCGTCTGGTTCTGCCACGCGTTTTCTGTTCCTAGCCCCCCTCCTGCTACTCTCTCTCGTGCTCCATCCTCCTCTCTCCCCCTTGTCCATTCCTTCCATCCGTCCTCTCTTCCCCTGCCTTAGGTGCTGCACGAAATACACGTTGCAGGTAACAGAGATATACCCCCAAGGGGATACGATCGAAGACGAAGAGGGTGCGTATCGAGGTTTTGGGATATACGTGTTGAATGGCACGCGAGCAGACAAGAACGGACTAGATCAAACTGATCGATGTTGTTGTTGTTGCTGTTGCTGCTGTTGTTGTTGGTGGTGTTGTTGACGTTCTTGTTGTCGTCGTCCTCGCCCGCCCCCCCCCTGATCCACCCGTGACCCATCCAGCGACACACCCGCGACCCACCTCGCGTCCGCCCCCTCACTCTAATCCGCAACTGCGGGGTGCTACGTACTGAATATTTGCATGCAACTGTGATGGCACGTCATGCTGCATTCCGCTCATCACCTCGTCATGGCTGGCAAACCCGCCAACGGCGCCATGTTGCGGGGTGGCCTGGGTGAGGAACCTGGGGGACCGACGAGGCTGCGGCGTGGCGTGATCCATGGAATGCCCCTGAGGTCCTCATACTCGGCACGCCCGAACTGGATACGGAAAACAAATGCGCAATGCCCAACAGAACATGTTGTCCAGCTGGACGGCAGAGTCCGCGGCCGCTCCAACAGCGAACACTTCTACTACTGGGCCAGAACCGCTGGCCTCCGTCCCGAGTCCTTCCCAAAACGTTTCTGGGGAGACCAAGCATACATCTATTCATATACCGCTACTCCCCGGACCTCCCGGGGTGCGTTCTGACCAGGACCTCGAGGCGAACCCAGCGGTGGCGACGAGGGCCTCCCAGGAGGCCCAAGAAGGGACAAACGAGGGTACCGGCAGTTCTGGGTATCTTTTCCTCCTCTGACTTTCGGCAAATCTGCGATCAGGCGCCCCGCAGCGCCCGCGCCCGCGGGATCCCCGCGCACTCCGCTGGCCACGGCCACGGCACAGAGGCGCGGCGGCCACGCCGCGCTGCGCTCGTCTGCGCTCCCCGTGTGTCGGCGCCGCTGCACCCCTGGGTTCTGGGAGACAGTCCGCGCTTGGGAGCAGCGCTGCGCGGCCGAGGGCACCGCTGAGGGGAGGCCGCGAGGGTGGGGGCTGGCGCAGATGGGGCAGACACAAGGCAGCGCTCGCCTCGGGCTCCGCAGCCGACCCAAGCGGCGAGCATACATGGGGCGCAGCCCCGTAGAATGTGCCCAGAAGTGTGTGCCACCCATCTGGCGCGCACAGGGTTGCGCCTGAGGTTGCCTCGTCCATGGGTTGCACCACGGGTTGCGCCATCCATGGGTTGCGCGATCCATGGGTTGCGCCATGGCTTGCGACATCCAGCGGTTGCGCAAGATACACGACTTGCCGACGTGGGCAGTGCCATTGGTTACGCCATATGTTGTGCCATCCGCTGCCGGGATTACAGCTACCTTCTATTGAGTACGCCATAGGTTGCGCACTCCATCGCCGGGAACACAGCGGCCTGCAATGGTTTGCGCCGTAAGATGCGCGCTCGACCGTTCAGAATAAAACGGCCTCCAATTGGTTGCGACAAGAGCGATAGGTTGCGCGCGTGGCCGCTGAAACCAACCGAAGAGGAAACGCCGGCATACTAATTGTTGCGCAATACGTTGTGCCCTCAGCCGCCGAGAATCAACCGGCATGCTATTGGTTGCGCTGCAGAATGAGCATCCTCCCGCCGAGCATGACGCAGTCTGCTAGTAGTTGCACCAGATACTGCGCGGCCGTCGGCCCTGAATCAGCCATCTAAACGGCCTGGTAGTGGTTGCGCCAACAATGCGCGCTCGGCCGCCGTGAACGCAACGACCGCCTGAGGGGTGTTACCATTCCCGATTCTTGTCCAGCCAGTCCAACCGCCTTACCAGTCGGGACAAAACTTCGGGCTACCCCCGAATCAATGGCCTGGAATCGACGAGACATCACCGATAGACCAGATAGGCCACCGATGGGGAACCCTTGCGTCCCTGGCCAAGTCGGGGCATCCACGCCCCGACCAGCGAAGAATGGGCGATCGGGGGTCGATGCCCCCCCCCGTCCGAGCCGTCCCCCCCCCCCATCGGCGCCCTGGCACATCCTGCGTCTCCAGGCTCTCCCGTATAGATCACGCCCCTCTCCGCGAGCCAAGAGGCAGCAACACCGACGCAAACACCGCGCGCCGACTCGGAGTCGTGCAGGCAAACGCGCCGGCCGCGGGCAGACTGGGCAGCCGCGCGGCCGGGCATCCCGCGTCGACGCCCCTTGCAGATCAGCCGGCGGCTGGTGTCGCTGCGCTGCCCTCGGGCGCCGGCTCGTCCCTCGTGGAGCTGGCGGCACGTAGCAGCTCCGAGTGCTCCGCGTGCAGCTGCATCAGCCGAGCGACGTCGGGCTCCTCGAGGCCCATCTCTTCGTTGCGGAAGTCGGCCTCTGTGGCAGCGTACCACAGCTCCCCGCCAAAGCCCAGGTTCTCCATCTCCGCCAAGGCCTCGTCGCTGACTCCGCCCTGTAGCCTGAGCCACTGGGCCAATTGCGCTGCAGGCCATCCGGGATGCACCAAGTCCATGGCGGGCATCTGAGCAAAGACTCCCAGAGCACACGGCACCTCCAGCACCGCCGCTCGAGCAGAAGTGGCTACGGAACTGTACTAAGCCCGTCGTGCAGCATGACGCCCGCATCAGCCGTCATACTGCGGCAACGCGGGACACACTCATGCACCCCCTGAAGGTCCCCCGCATGAGGCCGGAGAGGATGGGGCCAGCCAGAGGCTCGCACCGCATCGCGTGCACACAGCCGATGCACTGGTGACGTCTGGCTCGTTTCGCCTGAGACATCCTCGCAGCTCGGGGTTCCGAGGTGCTGTGCGGGATCCGCAACTTCCTCGCAACTCTGGGCTCTGACAAATGGGATGGAGGGAGGAGGGGTAGGACTCACGCGAATTTTCCCCTACCTAGGCTCTGCCTAGAAGGGTTCTTTCGCTGAGGCTTAAAGGGCAGGGCAATGGAATGCGCCCCGGGCGGTTCCCCCGGCATCCGCCCCGCGGTTCCCCCAGCGACGTTCCCTTAGCTTCGCGTTGTTTATCTCATCTTAGCTCAGCTTATGTCATCTTACCTTAGCTTAGCTTCATATTGCCTCAGTTTTTTCTTGGCGTAGCTTACCTTCGTCTTAGCTTCGCTGAGCTTTAGCATCGCAAAGCACAGCATAGCATAGCATAGCATAGCGCAACATCACATAGTGAATCATAGCCCAGCATAGCCTATCATAGCGCAGCATAACATAGCATACCATACCATATCATAGCATAACATAGCACAGCATGGCATATCATAGCTTAGCATAGCATAGCATAGCGCAGCAGAGCATGGCATAACATAACATATCATATCAACGAATGCTGCTGTCCTGGGGGCTCCAACTTCTAGGTAGGGTCGCACTGGGGCAATGCTGTCGACATGTGCGATGGGAACAAGTCTGGGCGCCCCTGGCCCGACGGAGGAGGCAGCTGGCGCGGAGGCGCGAGCGCGATGCCCTGGTGAATGGCAGGGCCTTCGTCACGGGGAGGCCCTGCCCGAGCAGCTCGTGGAGGTGCCTCGAGCGAGAGCGCAGCGGCCAGGGAGTGGGCAGGATAGGGGGAAAGAGGAAGGGAGGATGACAGAAGGAGAATGGAGGAGGGAGACGGGCAACGCCCAAACTGCGGTGGCAGTGCCCGTTCGAGGACGTCCCTGGCGAAGGTGCCTCCTGGAAGCGGCATCGAGAGTGCCACAGCATCCCTGGCATGGCGGAGGAAGCGGAGAGGAGGAGGGACGAGAATGCGGAGGATGAGGCAAGAGGACGGGGAGGACGAGGGGGATGATGAGGGTAAATGCGAGGACGATGAGGACAAGAGGAATAGGAACATTGCGAGGAGGAGGAGGAGGAGGAGGAGGAGGAGGAGGAGGAGGAGGAGGAAGAGGAGGAGGAGGAGGAGGAGGAGGAGGAGGAGGAGGAGGGGGAGGATAATAATAAGAAGAAGGAGCACTGCGAAGAGGAGAAGGATAATGACGCGGAGCACGATGAGGAGCACGAGAGAAACAAGGAGGATAACGATGAGGACCAGGATGATGAGAAGGAAAAGGAGGAATGCGATGAGGAGGCCGAAGATGCGAAAGGACGAGGCGGAATACCACAAGGTGGATGCGGATGATTCGTCGAAGGGGGGGGGGGCGCGACGGAGCGACATGAGGAGGCGCAGCAGGAAGTGGAGGCGGGTGAGGAGGAGTGGAGTGGAGCAACCCAAGAGGCGGACCGTGCCATGGGCCAACCGTGAGAGCAAGAGTCGGCTCGAGCACTCATTGGCTCAAAAACCAGCCCCGCGCCCCTACAGCTAGAGTCCGCGCGGGCTCGTCCAGACTCTGTGGCTGGAGGCGGCGAAGCTTACCGTGGAGACGAGCAAAACGATGCGCGCGACCAGTGTGCGGGGCGGCAAAAGCCAAAATAGCGCAGCGCAGCTAGAACCGTTCTAACGATTCCGAAGCCTCACGTAACGACACGCCGCTCTTGGTCGCGCCGGCCCGATAAGACACCCGAGGGGCACCACTCCCTCGGGGACAACCCGCCCCCACGCCCGCCACGGGGGGGGACCGTGACCGTGGGAAGAACGGGCGGGGATCCTCCAATGAGCCCCCCCCGCCCGCACAAGGGACCCGCGACACCGGCCGAACCCTGGCGGAGTACCAGGTGGGCCACCGCAAGGGTGTCGCAACAAAGCGTGGCATAAACCCACAACCCAAGCACGGGAACACGGAAAGACAGGCCGCGCACTGGGACTCCGGAATACCCCCGTTCGCCGCACTGGCGAGCCGGGAACAGTCCCGAGGCCCCAGGCACGGGACTTCCCCCGTGGCGCAGGCTGGGACGGCCTACCACTATTTTTCCCCCCCCCAGGGTCCCGAAGGAGCACCTGGGGTGACGAACGGGCGACTACCCGCCTGCTTTCCTGGGGAGGGATCCCAGTGGCACAGGTGCCAGGCGGGTGAGGAGGAGGAGGAGGAAGAGGAGGAGGACCAGAATGAGCAGGAGGATGACGAGGAGGAGGAGGAGGAGCGGCAGGAAGAGAGAAGGGCTGGTGGAGGAGGTGTAGGACGATGGGGAGGATGACGAGGAAAAGCGAGGATGCGACTGGCGTGGATGCGGAGGAAAGGGAGGAACAGTGCAAACCCAAGATCCATCAACGATGTTGGAAACACGTTCCCTTTCAAACTCCCTCTTCGTAGGCCTCTACAAAGGTTCATTTCTATTAAGGAAATTTTCCCGTTGGGGGGAAGCCCTTGTGAACATCCTGAGGCGTGCCCAAACACCATCCTAAGGACTGCAACGCCACACATTAACCTGATCGCTGCGATCCTGAACCGTGCCGGTACACCATTCTTGGGATTTCACCCCCGCGAATCAACATACTTGCTGCACCTTGACAATCCTGAATCGTTCCAAAACACCGTTGCTGGTACGCTCACCATGAGACTCAATGAAACACTATCAGTTGTTGAAACGGATGTGCGCGGCCATGAGGCGAGAACCACATTTTGAACACCACCCGCTTTCAACCCGTACAACTCTTGCACCTGTTTCAAACGAATGTGCGCGACGCCAAGGCGAGAGACACATGTTGAAAAAGAGCCGCCCTCAATCCGTACAGCTCTTGCAAATGTGTGGAACGAATGTGCGCCGCGCTAAGGCGAGAACAACATTAATCTTAGCCTGGCGAAGGGCCCAACCATATGCAGTTGTGAATACCGCAATTGTGAATATCATCTTTGCCCGCACTCCCTATGTGGCCACAACTTCCCGCCGGAACCGGACATGCTCAGGAACACGTTCGTGGCCGTCTTCGCGGGCGCCGACGACGACACGGACGGCGTCCCTCTGACCGAGGAGCAAAAGCAAAAGAGGGCTTGGAGAGCCATGAGGGAGGAGGTGGCGTTGCACGTCGACACGGCGGAGTACACTGCCCAGGCGCGGTTGTTGAAGCAACACATCTCTGAGGCCACGATCCTCGTGATGGGTGTGCCGCAATGGCCCAGGGCCGCCATGCGAACCCTGCCACTGGCGCCTTCGCTGGAGCTCCTATGGGGCCACAATCCTCGTGAGGGGTGTGCCGAAATGGCCCGAGGCCGCCATGCGAACGCTGCCGCTGGGGCCTTCGGTGGAGCTCCCTGTGTGGCCACGATCCTCGTGAGGGGTGTGCCGAAATGGCCCGAGGCCGCCATGCGAACGCTGCCACTGGGGCCTGCGGTGGAGCTCCTTATGGGGCCACGATCCTCGTGAGGGGTGTGCCGAAATGGCCAGAGGCCGCCGTGCGAACCCTGCCACTGGCGCCGTCGGTGGAGCTCCCTATGGGGCCACGATCCTCGTGAGGCGAAATGGCCCGAGGCCGCCGTGCAAACCCTGCCACTGGCGCCTTCGGCGGAGCTCCCTATGGGGCCACGATCCTCGTGAGGGGTGTGCCGAAATGGCCTGAGGCCGCCATGCGAACGCTGCCACTGGGGGTCTTCGGTGGAGCTCCCTATAGGGCCACGATCCTCGTGAGAGGTGTGCCGAAATGGCCCGAGGCCGCCATGCGAACCCTGTCACTGGGAGCCTTCTGTGGAGCTCCCTATGGGGCCACGATCCTCGTGAGGGGTGTGCCGACATGGCCCGAGGCCGCCATGCGAACCCTGCCACTGGCGCATTCGGTAGAGCTCCCTATGGGGCAACGATCCTCGTGAGAGGTGTGCCGAAATGGCCCGAGGCCGCCATGCGAACGCTGCCACTGGGGCCTTCGGTGGAGCTCCCTATGGGGCCACGATCCTCGTGAGGGGTGTGCCGAAATGGCCCGAGGCCGCCATGCGAACGCTGCCACTGGGGCCTTCGGTGGAGCTCCCTATGGGGCCATGATCCTCGTGAGGGGTGTGCCGAAATGGCCCGAGGCCGCCATGCGAACGCTGCCACTGGGGCCTTCGGTGGAGCTCCCTATGGGGCCACGATCCTCGTGAGGGGTGTGCCGAAATGGCCCGAGGCCGCCATGCGAACGCTGCCACTGGGGCCTTCGGTGGAGCTCCCTATGGGGCTACGAAACGCTGTACTGGGTGGGTGAAGCGCAAGGAAGAGGGGGAGGAGGGAGGAGTGGGAGGAGGAGGGGGAGGAGGAGAGGAGAGGAGGAGGAGGAGGAGGAGGAGGAGAAGGAACGCGGGACGACGTCTCTTCAAAACGAGGACCCAACGCCACAGGATGGTTGGGAAAAAACGGCCCGCCATCCATCTGCGAAACTGCTGCCAACTTTTCAACTTCAGAATCATAAGTGGTGAGGAAATCCACGGCTAAACGCCCGGCCCGCCCTTTCGACCGCCTTCGAGGCGCGACAGGGAAGAGTTTCTATAAGGAAAACGAATGGAAGAGGAAGACGACGACGATGATGAACAACTCGATGACGACGTCGAAGGCGCAGGCGGATCAGGAGCAGGAGGACACGCGAACACTTTTAAGAGCCACCCTGGCTCAAAAACGCTGCTGCGGGATACTGGACTCTGGCTAAAATTGTGACGTGTGACGGCGTGACGTGTTGCGCTGCACTGTGCAATCTGATCTGACACTAGGCGCGACGTGCATGCCTGACTCTACCAGAAAAAGCTGGAAACAAACGTGGCCGGACTCGCGTGCGGAACATCCCGAGGCCGCACGGTGGGTAGACATGCGAAACCACGGCGTGCCCGGCCACAGCAAAGCCGAGGGCTGGGAAAGACGTCCGGCCACATGAGTTCCCAGCCCTCGCCCAGGTTGACCGCGCCATGTGCATTCAGCTTCTTGGCATTCCGAGGGTATGATCGGGCATGAAGGAGAACAAGTTTGCCTCAAGGCCTGCAGGTGCGACGAATTTCGATGCATACCGCTGACGTGCCCGGGCCCGCGTCTCGTAGATGCGCCCAACCTACCGAAGGGCAATGTCCCGCTATTGCGGGCGCTTCGAAGAGACCGGCGCTTCCGTCGTCCCCCTCCTCCTCCTCCTCCTCCTCCTCCTGCTCCTCCTCCTCCTCCTCCTCCTCCTCCTCCTCCTCCTCCTCCTCTTCTCGCGCCCCCCATGCTGCCTGGGGCTAGTGGGGGCACCGGGTCAGCGTAGCAGAGACACAGACACTGCCAAGGTTTTGGGTTGGGTCGGTTCGGCCAACCCTTAGCCTCCCTCATCTTCTTACTGCGTGCCTATCCTCCTCCTCGTCCTCGTCCTCCTCCTCCTCCTCCTCCTCCTCCTCCTCTTTCTTCTCCTCCTCCTCCTCCTCCTCCTCCTCCTCCTACCCCTCCCCCTCCCCTTCCTTCTCCTCCTCCCCCTCCCCCTCCCCCTCCCCCTCATTCGCCCCTCCATCCTCCTCTTCGTCAGGACTCCTGCTCGCGCTTCCCTCGGCGCCTTCTGGAGGCAGCGGACCGATCCTCCTGGATCCTGACTCAATCTCATCAACCGGCCCGAGAATCTGAAACTCCAAGATTCCCCAGAAATCGAGCGCGTTCCGCAAACTCCGTTGTTCACTCTTACTGCTGCCCCAAAGGGTCGGCGGTGCGGCGTCAGCCAAACAATAAATCTCAACCGGCTCTGCTGGAACAGCTCCGCAATGAGGCGTCAAAACTGTACATGTGTTCGGCCACGACGTTGACTGGATTTGTCTTCTCAGGGACCCGTTGTCTGTTCCTCGGCGGGGAGTTTCGCAACATCCAAGCGGTCAGAGCGGTCAGAGCCGAAGCAAAAGCGGAATGACGGAGAGAGCCCCCGCGCGAGCTCCGCGAGGGGCCTCAGGAGTGCGAGGGGAGGTGGCCTCGGCGGGGTGCGAAGACACAACACAGACTTTTTTAGTCCGCGGGTCGAGAGCGAGCCTCTTCCGGTTAAGAGCTAGGCGGGCCGCGCAAAACACTAACTGAGGAGACAGGGCGCGGGTGGGCGGGGCCTCAGGCGGCCGGAAGGCGCGGGGTGCAGGCGGTGCAGAAGAGCTTGCACAGGAAAAGGTACGCCGTGGACAGGGGCCGGAAACAACACAGACACGCCCATGCCACTATGGGAGGGCGGGGGGAGGAAGACTGGCTGTGGGCATGGGTGCGATTGGTCGGACCTCGGGGAACGCTCCACTTCGAGCGGGGACCCCCATCTGACAACACGCACCCATTGCCCCATCCGCACCCCCCCCGCCCCTCTGTGTGTGTGTGTACAAATGTGTGTCTCGCTCGTTCGTCACCAGCGGCGACCTCTTCCCCAAGCCACACGGAGACACGATCGGGAAGAGACTGTGCTCCCCCAAGGCAAAATGGGTTCTCCAGACTTCGCGGTCGTCCACCCGAGAGACAAGGTCTGCATTCCCAGCCGATCCTCAAAGACCACAGGGCCCCTGGAGAACCCAGAGAACCCGAAAACGGCGCGAGACTTCCAGGATACCTTTCCCTTCCGGACCCGCTTTCTCCGTGCCAGCTTCATGAGAGGCGGCCGTCGCCGTCGTCTTCGTCGTCGTCCTAATCCACCTTCGCTTCCTCCTCACCCCCATTCCCCTCTTGGGTAAGACGAACGAGGGAGCGGGGTAGCAACGCGAGGGCCACCAAATCAGCTCGTGTGGCTCAAGCCACCTCCTGGCGCTGGAGGTGCCAGCAGAGTTGTGAGGTGGCCTCCCAGCGGCGGGGACGGGACCAGATGCATACGACAGGTTTCGCCTCTCCCACCCGTCGCTCGCGAGCGGCGAACGTATCCACATCCACGCCCATCGCGGTCCAGATCCGCACCATCCCGCGGACGCGCTCCATGATGCGCTGTGGCGCAGCATCCGCGGACAACCAGAAAGGCGGTATCCGCGGGGTCGCGGCCACGGGACCCGGCCCGCGAGGCCGCGGATACGGATCCGCTGTTCGTCCAAGACTTGCCCCGATCCCACCCCCCCCCGGATCCTTCCCCTCCTCCCCCCCTCCTCCTCCTCCTCCTCCTCCTCCTTCTCCTCCTCGTCCTGCTGCTGCTGCTGCTGCTGCTGCTGCTCCTCCTCCTCCCGCGCCGCCCGATCTCGCCGCCCCGCCCTCCGACCATCCAGGGCTCCAGGCACTCGCTCGAGAATGCGCCTCGGCGAGGGGCGAACGCGGGGGCGAGAAGGCCCTGGGCGACAGCGGCGACGGAGCAGCAGGGGCAGCAGCAGCAGGAACCGCAGCGGGAGCGAGCGGGGGGACGACGGGGGCGAAGGGGAGCAGGACGACGACGACGACGAGGACGAGGACAAGAGCGACGAGGACGAGGACGATGACGAGAACGAGGAGGACTACGGCGACGACGACGACGACGACGACGATGACGAGGACAACGACGACGACGACGACGACGAGGACGGAGGACGAGGAGAAACAAGATGAGGAGCAGGATGAGGAGCAGCAGCAGCAGGAGCAAGCGGGGGAGGAGGAGGGCGAGGAGGGCGAGGAGGAGGAGGAGGAGGAGGAGGAGGAGGAGCTCGAGGAGAAGAGGTGGGAGGGAATAGGATATTCACGAGCGAACATAGCGATGCGGGGGCTGCGCGATGCGCAATGCCCACTCACACGCGCCCGGCCACACCGAGCACTGCAACACGAGCGTGCGCCTTTCCACGCCGTGTGGCTCTGAGCAGGAGGGACGGGAGAGGGACGAGCGAGGAGGGGGGGGAACTGGAAACGAGGGAGGACAAGGGAGGACGGACGGATTGACAGGAGCAGAGGCGGGCGGGACGGAAGAAGGCTCGGGAGGCGTGGCATGACGAGGGACGGGGGCGATGCTTTCGGATCGGTGGCTCGCGCGGCAGTCGTGGCTCGGCGGCTCCCTCCTCCTGGCGGGCGCAGCGCAGCACGCTGGTGGCGCCAGAGGCGCGGGGCGCGCGGACCTCCTGCCTTTTTTATTATTTTTCTTCTTCTTCTTCTTCTCCCAGCGCACGAGATTCGTTTTGTCTTCGTTTCCCAGGAGCAAAATGACACCACAAACGAGGAAAAACAACGCGCGCCTCAAATGCCTTCTGCTGCGGCCCTCCGCCCGCGAGCCGGGCGCGCGGACCCCCTGACCTTGCTGCTTCTGCGGACTTCTGGGCCGTGGCTCAAAGAACTGAGAGGGGGGGGCACACTGTCTACGGTCAATCGTTGGTGTGGCCCTCGGCCGGCGCGCGAAGCTCTCCACGCTTGCTGCTGGGCATCTTCAGTCGCGGTGGGGGCGTCGGTGAAAGAGTGCGCCCAGGAGGCTGCAGACCCTGGAGGATTCCTTATCTGATGAGGGCGGCGGTGATAATAATAAAAATCATAGTAATAATAAGAATAATGATGATGATGATGATGATGATGCTGATGATGATGATGATGATGATGATGATGATGATGATGATGCTATATATATATATAGCGCCAGCGGATGCGGGCGAGAGGGTGGGACCGGCGGGGCACGCGCCGGGCGCGGGGCGCGCACCAGAGGGGGGGGGATCGAGGGGGCAACCCACGGGCGGAGGGGGGGGGGCAGCCTCGTGCGCCGTTCGTGCACAGTGGATCGCCACAGCGGGCTGCGGCACAGCGGGCCGTGGCGGTTTCTCTCGGCACAGGGGCTGCGCGGCGGCAAGGAGGAGTACGGGAGCGAGGAGCGGGCAGGCGACGGCGAACGGCAACAGGCTGCAGGCTGGGGCCGGCGGGACGAAGCAGAGGGGCGGGCAGCAGGGGCCTATAACATGATTAGATGGGGTCCTCCTCCTCCTCCTCCTCCCCCTCCTCCTCCTCCTCCTCCTCCTCCTCCTCCTCCTCCTCCCCCTCCCCCTCCTCCCTCCTCCTCCTCCTCCTCCTCCTCCCTCCTCCTCCTCCTCCTCTCCTCCTCCCTCCTCCCTCCTCCTCCTCCTCCTCCTCCTCCTCCTCCTCCTCCTCCTCCTCCTCCTCCTCCTCCTCCTCCTCCTCGCTCCGCCATACCATACCATACCATACCATCCATACCATGCCTCCTCCTCGAGTAGATGGGGCCCGAGCATCGCGAGGCACCGCCGATACATCGGCGACGCGACGGCGGCGAGGCATCGGTGCCGTCGGCGCGGTGAAAGTCGGGCTGCACATCGAGCCACACCGCCAACGCATCGGCGATGCAGCGCGCTGCTCCGACTGCAGCTGCCCCGACCCCCGCTGTGAGGTCTGGAAAGAATGTGGCACCCTCCGAGCTTAGTGGGCCCTGGAAACGGCAGGGTCGTTTTGTCACCGTTTCCAGAAAAATGACCCTTGAAAATGGAAACGGCAAAAAAACTGCGACTGGAAGCAACAGAAAAACGGCTCCAGGATTGGAACCGGTCAAAAAACGGCGACGGAACCGGTAAAAGAACGGCGCCGGCAGCCGGCAGCAAAAACGGCAGGACGGAGCCGGTAAAAAAAGAGCCCTGTCGCTTCCAGGGCCCACGCAAAGCCTCCGAGCACCTCATGGGGGCCCCGGGGGGACCCCTCGGCCCCAGCTGGGAGGCCTGGAGGGAATGTGGCACCCTCCGGGCACCTCATGGGGCCCCGTGGGGGGGGGGCCCTCGAGGGCCGCTGCCCCTCCTGCGAGCCGCGGGCCTCGTCGGGGGCCGCCCGCGCAGCAGCCGGGCGCCTCCTCGCCAGCTCGGCCAGTGCGCACCTCCCCCCCTTGGCCTCTCGTACGGTCTGCCCTGGCCTGCACTCGGGGCCCCGAAGCATGTGGGGGCGGGCCGCGTGGTGGCCTCGGAATGAAGGGGCCCTGGGACGCACCAAGAAATACACACAACTATATAACAGGATTCCCAATCTTTCCCCACATTTTCTGAGTTTCTGCCTTCCCCCCCACTTCCCATCTGTTCTGGGGAATCGTCGATGAGTTAGGTCTGTGTGCTTTTCTTCCCTCCTGATCGGAGTCCCCCACGACCTCACCGCCTGGTCCGTCACCTCACGGCCTTGGGACCTCGGAAGGCCCCGGCGCCCGCGGCGTCCTCGCAGGTTGGCCCGAGCCCCCCCCCACCGTGCGGGAACTCCGAGCCCCCGCCGACTCGCCACGCAGTGTGGTCTCCGCGGTTCTCGGGACGCAGCTCGGCTCTCCTGCGGCCGCTCGAAGCGATCTGGGCACCCCCGGGAACGCCCTGGGCGAGGCGCAGCTGCCGGAACGCATCCCGAAACAAGATAACCCACATCGACCGACGCAGACGCAAAGAATCCTTGAAACCCAACGAGCCGCCCCCTCCGAAAAATGATCTGGCCCCATCTGAACGCATGGAGGCTCACCGGAGGCGCCTCGACTGTTATAACGTCTATGCCTCGAGATGCGCCAGGAGGACAACACAAAACGGGATCCTACGGTCAGGAACTTTCGGATAGCGTGTCGCGGGGGCGGCCCTGGCGACCCGGTATGACCTGTGAGTGGATAGCGTGTGGCTCGCTCCGCGGGGCGGGAGGCTCGGGAAGGCCCGGGACGTTGACGCCTGGGGAACCGGGAAAAAGGATAGCGTGTCGCGCCGAAGCGTGCTAGGCCAGAACCGGCGGAGCTGGGTGGCGACACCTGAACACCACCACTATCGACTGTCGATTCTTCTGATTCGATGGTCGGTGGGGGTATGGTTCGGACTCCGACACGTGTTCGATTAGTTCCGAAGCCTGCAGCCGCCGCCGGCCATCGGGTTGCCTGAATCGTTGATCGGCGAGGGTAGGGCTCGGATTTCGCCGCCGAGGAGCGACATGGGACGCACAAGGGCATACTAGTACTACATTACATGTCCTCCTTGGAGGCGTGCGTCCGACCAGAACACACAGTATAACCATCTTGTCAGAGTGAGGGGGCCGAACGGTCATTCATTGTCCCTGGGTGCGTGGCTGAAGTGCGGATCCGTGGTGAAGATTCTGCTTGTAGTTGTTGTTGTCGTCGCCCCCCCCGCGACCCGGCCCGCGACCCATCCCCAACCCACCTCGTGACCCACCCGCGACCCAACTCGCGACCCACCCGCGACCCACCCCGCGACCCACCCGCGACCCACCCGCGACCCACCCCGCGACCCGCTCGCGACCCACCCGCGACCCACCCGCGACCCACCCGCGACCCACCCGCGACCCAGCCCGCGACCCGCTCGCGACCCACCCGCGACCCACCCGCGACCCACCCGCGACCCGGCCCGCGACACACCCGCGACCCACCCGAGACCCACCTGCGACCCAACCCGCGACCCACCTACATTGTTTTAACAAAGAAATCTGCGCCTGCGGCGGGCTCGTTGTATAGCTTGAAAAGTGCTGCGCCTGCGGTGGGCTTCGCCTCGCAGACTGCCGCCGACATCCCCGCCGCCCCCTCACTCTTATCCGCAACTGCGGGGTGCTACGTAGTACATCGTTTCCCGAGCGGTATGGCCAGAAAGCGCAGGCCACGGAGCTCACGCTGTAGAATCTATCGGCGCGCGCGCGCGTCGCCCCTCTGGGGGCGACGCGCACACAGTGCCAGTATGTCGGGGTGAAGCCGCCGACACGCCAGAGCCCAAGTTCCCGACCGTGTGCATCGAGCTGCGCCCGCAAGACAACACAAACTGGGATCCTATCCTGCAGCGCCGGCGCCCCCGGAACGGCCCGCCGTCTTTTGAGCAGGGACCGACCGTCCCGGCATTCCTATAGTCATACCACAAAATGTTCTTAGAACCCAAAGATGTTCTAATAACAAAACAATGTTCTTAGAAAATAAGCCCGATGTGTTAAAACAAGACAGTCCCATCCAGAAATGCTCTAAGAACATTTCGTGGGAACCACAAAAAATTCTTAGAACATTGTTTGGTGGGGCTATAGGCGAGCCGGGACGCTTCGCCACTGCTTGAGCCCTGCCCGCCCGCCCCCCCCCACCCCCAGCCCGCGCGCCGCGGCGGAGCCTCGCGTAGCGAACTGCCGCGACTGCGCGCTGCCGGCCAGCGAGCTGCCCTGCGGGTGCTCTTCCCCAGGGCGACGAGATCTGTGAGCATCCTCCTCCCCCTCCTCCTCCTCCTCCTGGTCCTCCTCCTGGTCCTCCTCCTCCTCCTCCTCCTCCTCCTCCTCCTCCTCCTCCTCCTCCTCCTCCTCCTCTGAAGGGCAACAATAGGGCTGGCAGAAGGGGGGGGAGCATCGGCCTGGAATCGCCATACATCGCCGAGAGATCGGCGAGAGGCCTCCGATAGCGAATCTGCACGCTCCTGGGCGGGGTGGGGCTCTCAGGCCCGCACCGGCGATCAGCGGGCGGCTCGGGGTCGATGCGTCCCTCGCCATGCCTGTCCCTCCCTATGCCTGCCCCTCCTTCTTCTGCTCTTCCTCCTCCTCCTCCTCCTCCTCCTCCTCCTCCTCCTCCTCTTCTCCAGTGTTTGTGGCGGTATGGGCGTCCTCCTCCTCCTGCACCGCCGTTGCCCGGTGCGGGCTGGCCACGCACATCTGGAAGATCTGGAGCACTCCCACCTTGACCATCGGGGCGAGGTGCAGCAGCAGCGTCACCGTAGCTTCAGGCTCCTCGCGCTCGAGCCGTACCTCGCCATGGCGCCGCCGAACCAAGAGCTGAGCAACACTCGGCTCAGCACGGAGAACGCCTGCCGCTTCGTCGCGCAGTCCGCGCACTGCAGGAGGTCGTGGTAGACGAGGAAGAAAGCCCGGAAGTTTTGCAGCAGGTACGCTGCGGATGCCCCTGCGTCGCCCAGCAGCAGCGGCTCCTGGAGTGTGGCGAGCGCAATGGAAGCCACCTCGAAGCAGCTCAGTGCGCGCGCCGTGGAAACCAACCTCATGAGCGCGCCGCCTTCGAGAAGAAGCTCTGCCACCGCCGCGTCGCACGCGCATGCGAACAGCAACTGCCCACACAGGAAGGGCCAACTCGCCGAATCTGCAGCCGCGCGAGCAGCATCACACCTGCTGGCGGGCAGATGCACCGTGCCGCAGCCCCGTCGTGAGAACGTCATCCACGAGCCCCGCGGCGGCCTTCTCCCCTTCGAACTCGAGAGCGTCGAGCGCCGCTAGTAGCACGGCGGATAAGTCCGCCGCCAGCAGCCGCGCCAGCAGTTCGGGTTGCGCTCTGCATCGGCGGCGAGCGAAGGGGGGGAAGTGAGAAGGAGAAGGTCCTCTCAGGAGGCGGCGGGGCTTCTCAGAACGCCTCGGGCCTTCTGAAAGGATTTCTGCGTCCTGGGGGAAGGCTTAGGCTGGGCGTCGCGTATATGGCGGGCGACGGAAGGGGGAAGAAAGGTGCACTTCTCGGGCCCTGAAGGCCCGGCTTGCGTTTGAACGGCCCCATTGGGAGCCCTACAGTCTACAGTGCCCCTTTTCTGCAGCCCTCGCTTTCCCCCATGGATCGCCCCCCATTACGCGACGCCCATATATATATAGATATAGACATACATACATATATATGTATATACATATACACATTAAATATATGAACAAACTGCTCAGAAGGCCCGGGACTTCCGAGCCTTCCGAGAGGACCCGCCCCTTCTCACTTCCCACCTCCCCCGGGCGCGCTGCCGACCACGGGAGGGCACACGCCTTGGCTGCCCGCCTGCGCTGGGCGCGCCGACGCGCGGCCCGGCCGCACGCCTGCCCTCCTGGCCTGCTTTTGCAGGGGCCAACGGGACACGCAGATGAAGAAACACAACAGATGACAGGATTCCCCACATGTTCCTATATTTTCTTGGGGTTTGTCTCCCCCCCCACTTCGCAGAATGTTTGTCCGTGTGTCTGTGCCTGTGTGTGTGTGTGTTTTTGCCCTCCTGGCCCGCTGGCCGCGCCGCCAAAACCGGCTGCCCTCGGCGCCGACGAGCAGCCCGGCCCGGCAGCCGCGTGCCCGATGCGCCTGGCCCTCCGCCGCCTCCCGCGAGGCCCGCGGCCGCCGTCGGGCAGGCTGCCCCGTGTTTTCGGGGGCGGCGCCGGGCCCGCGTCCGGCGAAAATGGCCTGAGCCCTGATGGCTTGAACCAAAATGGCTACGGACCCGCCTCCTCCTCCTCCTCCTCCTCCTCCTCCTCCTCCTCCTCCTCCTCCTCCTCCTCCTCCTCCTCCTCCTCTCCCCTCCTCCTCCTCCTCCTCCTCCGCCTCCTCCTCCTCCTCCGCTCCGCCTCCTCCCCGACCACCTCCTCCTCCTCCTCCTTCTGCTCCTCCTCCTTCCTCCTCCTCCTCCTCCTCCTCATCATCATCATCCCCCTCCTCCTCTCTAGTGCTCGAAAGTGTGGCGTCATGGGCGTCTTGAGCAACTCTTGTCGCACAACCGCCCGGGCAACAGCTGTCACGGGTACGCAGCCAGTGCCCGATGGCTAGGCCCATCCTGGGCCCACGGTGTATATGCCCTCCTGGTTTGTCCAGGGATGCATACACGCCACCCCAAGGACCACAGGATGGGCCTGGACAAGGGGGGGGGATGTGCATAGATCTCTCAGCCCGATCACCCCCCCCCCCCTCTCACTCTCC